AAAAAAAAAAAAAAAAAAAAAAAAAAAAAAAAAAGATTTTTTTTTCTAAGTCACAAATAATAAAGCGATGAAGAGCAAAGAGGACATTATAGCCAAATATTTGTTTTAAATTAATCTTCTCCAATTTTGTTTTAAAGTAGTCTTTCTCTTGGTTACCAACTTTAATTTCCTTGTCACCATTTGCTAGGAACTGAACCAGAGCCTCACGCATGCCAAGCAAAGGTTCTAACAGAGGCACACCACCAGCCCTTAGATTTATTTTACTTTAGGGCCATTTCTCCAGCCCATCTTACCACATAATAAAATAAACCTAGTTCTTGTACTTTATTCTAAAATTTAAGGTACTCTCATACAGTATCATCTGCTCTGGCTCCTCCATTTAGACAGATTAAGGAAGTCTCTTACTGTACTTGTTACATAATGCCTATTTTTATTCTAAGCTTAAAAAACCAGATCAACACCCCAAAATTTTTTGCTAGTTCATTAACATCTGAAAAGATCCACCTTGATTTACTACAGCAGATACTGTGCCTAGACTGAGGAAGGGTCCTGGGTATGACCACAGCAAGCCAGATGTCCATCCTTAGCTCTACTGTCCCCCAGTCAACAAGATGCAGGAGAGAAGATACTGGCCACTCTTCCCATCAGGCATGCTGCTTTCTTGGGTGTGAGTAAAGAGCAATGCCCTACAGTGAAGGTGAAAATACCTGTGGTCCAGTCTCAGGGCTTTAAAGCCAAGAGGATCAAGTACAAATTAACAAAGCATTATTTCTAAAAATTGCGGTTAACATTAAATTAAAATTCAATTCTTACTGACCTGATCTCGTATCCTCTGTTTAATGATATCTTCTAGCTGAAGGGTAGTTTCCTCTGTAATTACAGGGGCTAAAAGAAACACAACACATGTTCTTTAGAAAAATACAAAGCAGACCAGGTATTTGCAAATCTTTGTCAGACCCACAACATAAGCAGCACCAGAGAACTTACTAAAAATACAAATTCGTAGGCCAACCATACACCTTCTAATCAGACAGTGGAGAATTGGTTATAGTGTTCTATAACCAATTTAGGCCTGGATTCTATTTAGGCCTGGATCCTGCCACAGTTCACCAAACTGTTCACAATTAAACTGCAAACCCTGGCTATCTCATCAAGTTCTTTCTTGTATCCATTAAGTTCAAAGCTGGGAGTGGTGGTACAAGCCTTTCATCCCAGCACTCAAGAGGCAGAAGCAGGTAGCTAAGGCCAATCTGGTTTACAGAGTGAATTCTCGAATAGCCAGGGCTACACAGAGACCCTTTTTTTTTTGGGGGGGGGGGGGGGGGGGGGGAAAGGAGGGAAAAAAGTTCAAATAAGTTTATATTTTATTTCTACAGAAAAAAATTCTCCCTTTCCCTTTGTGTATGTGTGTGTACGTGTATGTATGTCTGTGTCTCACACAGCCCAGGCTGGGCCTCAAACTGGCCAAGTAACCTAAGGATGATTTTGAACTTCTGTTGGACCTCTGACACTTCTGCTTTTACCTCAAGTGCTAGCAGAGGCCATCATGCCTGGATTCCGCAGAATAAGGGATCACAGGGATCATATGCAGGAATTCAAGCATCCTAGGCAAACATTCCACCTGTATCTGTTGGTCCATCTGGGATTCAGTGAGCCCTCTGAAGTTCCTCCAAGTGTGAGAACCATAAAACTTGAATGGATATGGTAAATGACAACACTCCCATCCCAAAGCCCTAGGACACCCTCACTCTCCTGTGTGAGAGGCTGCATGTGCACACATGCGTACGTGTCATGCGGAGGCCAGAAGCCAACACTGCACACCTTATTGGAATGCCCTCCGGCTTACTAGCCCTAAGACATCAATTCCACCAGACTAGTTGGTCAGCTCTCTCCAGCGTCTTCAGCACTAGGATTACAGCCTTTTGTGTGTGGACAGGCGATCTTAATTTAGGTCTGCATGCTTACAAAACAAGTTTTTGTTTTTTTAACAACACAGCCATTTTTCAGCCTCTGAAAATTACTTTTTAGTGATGGGGAAATGGCATACATCATCACAAAGATGAACAGGAGACGGAAGGCAAAGATTGCAAACTGTTACCAATTGGTGAATTAAATGGCACACAGATATCCACTACACTATTTTTTCTCAACTTTTCTGTATGATTGCAAATTTTTTTAAAACAAGAAGCAGGGAAAAAAATAAACACTTCTCAAAATCTTTCTGAAACTAACTACAGAAAAAGCACAAAAGTAGACACATGTGGCAGGTCAGCAGGCCCCATACCCATCCTGACAGCATGGTCAAAGTGGAGGGTCTCTTCTAGCAGACTGTTCTCTGGCCGCTTCTGTGCTGTCACTTCCCCTTGAAGCTGCCAAGGCTTTTGTTCCAACAACTCTTTTTCCAAAGATGCAATTTTTTCATTCATCTAGGAAATAAGACAGGAGTTATCTGAAATGCTTGTTTACTAATGGACTAAATTTCCAGAAGTGGCAGGGTCTCTTTGAGGGCTCTGTTCTACTCAAATGATCTAAATCTTTACAAGCCACTAGCATGCTGAATTATTACACCCTAAAGTAATTTTTGTCTCTGAATATTAGCTTTGATGGTGCCTGGCTCTTGACTCCAATCCCAACTTTCTCATTTCTATCCCATAGTAAACAATTTTAAAGACATTGGCAGACACATAGTTTTATCTTACAGAATCTTCCTGTTTTCCTATTTGCCCTTCTGTTCACCTATTAGATCTGAACTGGATTTTCTGCAAATAACAGTGCTTTCACTTTAGCCTTCTTTATCTTTTACACAAACAAGTCTAAAATAGACGTTAGGTAACAGTGGGGATTGTAACAATGGACATGTTTGTCTTATTCTTGTTCTAGAATCGGGTCAATAACCATGATGGCAGCCCTTGACCCAATGTATTTAGTTCACTGAATAAAAAAAGAAATAAAATTTGGTCAAATTTCCCTGACATACCTAGAAGTGATCACATTTTTTTTTTCTCCTCAATCTCTAAAACAAGAGTTGTGCATAATTTCCTAATACTGAATTAAACAAATGAGGCCCATCTGACTTTGTGGTATTGCTCTCATCAAATTTTTTGGATTCTTAGATCACTACTCAATAATGAGGCTAACAACTATGTGGATAATTACATGTTGAATCAGATTTAGTTAGTCCCATTTATAAATTCTGCTTTACTTTTTATATGTGAATATCAACTAAACACTAAATTACTTATTTCTTGAAGGTCTGTATAATTCCTCCGTGAAACCAAGCTTTTTTGGGGAGGTAGGGAGGAGTGGGGTGGGAAGACATTAAGGTAGCAACTCACTATAAAGCTATTTCCTTTAGACTTTCTATCTCTTCTAGGGACAAGGTGACAATCCTCAACTTAATTCAAACTGCTTTTAAAAAACAATTCTTTAGGTAATTATGATATTCTTATTTCCATGTGATGTAATTTTACAATGAATAAGTGACAGGACCAAAGGACAAGGGCCAAACTAAAGTTATTAAAATTAGTTGCATATATATCATCTGTGTGGCATTCATTACACTAAAGAGACGTGCTTCCTAGAGCAGCTGAAAAGTTACACAGGATGGGTAAGCAGAAGCACTCCACAGTCAGGAAAACAAGCAGAGAGAAACAAATATTTTACAACCTGGCTCCAAATGAAGGTAACAGGCTAAGAAATGGAGGCACTAACTTATACAAATTATAAAATGCTTTTCATGTGGTATCTATATACAATCTACGAAGGATTGTTATTATTATTTCTTTTATGAGAGAAGGTTGGCTATGTAGTCTCTGCAGGTTTGATGCTCACTATGTAGCCCATGTTGATCGTGAACTTGACATAACCCTCCTGTCTCCCAAGTGCTGGATTTACAGGAATACACAATAATACCTAGCTTAGTATACATAATCTTTAGGAGCAAGGAATTTGCTTTTAAAAGAATAGTTTAGTTTGTGAGTTCCTACCATGTTAAACATACGACAACACTCCTAATTACCTTCTCCTGTCTCTTTTCAAAAGAGGATTTAACTTCATCACATTCCTGCTTTACAGCTAAGGGACTTGTATCTTCAGCCTCATCATCATCTGGCAAAGCAAAGGTCACTCTTTTCAAGCCTTCTTTATGTTGCTCATTATCCTCCAGGTCATTATCTTCATCCCTGTAATTCCATGATGGTTATCAAAAGAAAAACACTATAAGTCACTAGAAACACAAAGATAAATATTCCAATTACAAAGTACTTTTTAATACCTAATGTTATGCAATATTCAGAATTTCCAGGGTTGCTAAGTCTCTAAAGAACAAAATACATTTTTTTTTATTATTTTCTATACATGACATGTGTGGGCATGTGTACCACAATATGAATGTGGAGGCCACAAGAAAACTTTTATGAGTTTAAAGGGATCAAATATTCTGATCACTTAGTCTCTTGCACGGCAAGTGCTTTTATCCATGGAACCATCTCACTGGCCCAAAAGAAACAGATTTTTTTCTTTCTTTCTTTCTTTTACGTTTTGTTTTGTTGTTTTTGAAACAGCCCTCACACATCCCTGGCTATCTTTGAACTCTCCTGGTAAACTAGGCTCAACTAAAAAAGAGATCTACCTCTTCTTTCCAAGTGCTATGATTACTTATAAGCCATTACACCTGGCTAAGGAGGAGAGGGGTTTTTTTGCTTTTTGTTTTGTTTTGTTTTGTTTTTAAGTGAAATGCTGGCTATGTTGAAAGAGAACAAAAGTACTAATACATCAAATATATTATTCATCAGCCCATGATACAAAATGCTTAAAAAAAAAATAACACCAGGAGCTAGAGAGATTGCTAAGAACACTGGCTGCTCTTTTAGAGATTCAATTCCCAGCACTTACATGGAGGCTCACAAATGTTGGGTGGCCCTAGATCTCCCATCCCAGGGGAGCTAACAGTTTTCTCGCCTCTGCAGGCACCAAACACATATATGGTATGCGAACATACATATAAAAAAAATTCATACACATAAAATAAATTTTAAAAACTTAAAAAAAATATATATATATATTATTGGTACAAAACTCAAATGCAAGTTTCTTTCTTACAATATAAAAGGCTAGTTGGGCAGTGGTGACATACACCTTTAATCCCAGCACTCAGGAGGCAGAGGCAGGTAGATCTCTGTGAGTTTGGGGCTAGCCTGGTCTACAGAGGAAGTTCCAAGATAGCCAGGGCTACACAAAAAAACCCTGTCCCAAAAAAACAACAAATAAATAAAAATAAAATAATAAAAGGCAAACTACTCCTGCTGGCGCAAATTTTCTTTTTTAAATGATCTTCAATATCCTTGAAATTCAGAGACATTTTTTAGCTGTCCGATATCTGAGAGCCTTCTACTAGATTTGGAGTCTAACTTCTGATATGAATTTGACAACTCTGAGTTCATACTTTACACCTGTGGGGGGACCACTCCTCATACAAACTGAAGAAAGATTTGAAATGCTTACATTTCAAACATGCTTTCCTCCGTTCCTTCAGCAAGTTCTTCTTTGTCTGAATCTAGCTCATCATCAACAACACTGGCTGAGTCACCATCACTTTCAACTGGATCAAAGAAGTCCTTATATTTCAGATTTCTAGAACTTTTATTTGACTAAAATAAAACAGATTTTTGAAAAGTTTAAAGATAGAAAAATGTATAAATGCATTCATGTGCCTATGTACATTATTCACGCATACAAAATGATCTCTAATGTTAACACTATTCCAGCCAAAAATAGTTATTAGGGAAACTAACAACCACCATAAAACCATTAGGACACTTGAAACAATGAATTGAATGAAAGTACACACCTACTTATAACACATTAAATAGGACTACACAATTCCATATCTTAAAACTTCTAACTACTATTATTTAAGTAAACAGATAAGTTAAATAAAACTCCAAATTGGTAATTGTTAAAAGCATCTCTTGGCCTTTTTGTTTCTTTTTTATATTTATTGGGGAGAGGGGAATGTTTTGAGACAGGGTCTCATCATTTAGCCCAGGCTGGTTTTGAACACATAATCTTCCTGCCTCAGCCTCCCACTGTTGAGGCTTACACTCTTGTACCTTTGGTTCAGTTTTTAAATTTAATTAATTTCTTTTTTTTTTTTTTTAATACTTCACTTGTTCTCTCATGAAATTTGAGGCACAATAAATTTCTCCTTGGGAAAATGTAACATTTAATTTAAAGAGAAGGTTTCTTTTCCTAAATCCTTACCTTAATTTTCTGCTGTCCAAACAGCCCTCCCTCACCTTCATCCGAATCAATGTCTTCAAACAGGTCAATATCTTCCTCCTCCTCTTCATCATCAGGTTTTTTTTCCTCTTCTTTTTCCATTTTTTCTAAAAAGTTCTCCATTTCAGATAGTTTGAAGAATTTATCATCTACTACAGACTTTTCTTTTGTTTTTCCAGATGGCTTGATTTGCATCTTGGTCTGCTGTTCCAATTTGCCAATATCAAAGTCAAGGTCTGAATCCTCATCACTGAAATCTGGACTCTTCCTTGGGTCAGATTTGCTTGAGCTTTCGGCTTTCTCCTTCCCTTTAGGAACATCACCATCTGTGGCTGTTAGTTGTTCCTCCTCCAAATCTGTCTCTAGATTCTCCTGGCTGTCAGCCTCCATCTCTGAGGCATCCTCTTCACACTCCTCTTCTTCACTTTCTGGGAGAAGGCTGATATCTTCATCCTCAATTGTTTCACTAACTGCATTCTGGAAATATTGTAAGACTGGTTCATTTTGCAATTCTAGTTGTTGCCAAATTTGTTCATCATCAAAATTGTTTATCTCAAGTTTTTGTAAAGGACTTCCAGAGATTTGGCCATTCTCTAATATTTTATTAAAATCATACAGAACTTTTGTTAGAGAAGTAAAGTTTGATGCTAGTCCATTTTGAATCCTATTGGGAAATGAGATTAAGTGAGAAAAATTATACAACATCGAGAATTATGAAATAAAAGAAAAAAATAAAAACCATACCTTATTTGCAAAATAAAATGTAAATGAAGCACCAATTTCAAGTACAGATTCTGGTTCCTAACAGTGTGTATCTTGCTGATAAGGCAAACTATAAGTCTCTGACTTTGCTGTATAGACTAAAGGCTGGAAAATCACTACTCATCTACTTACCTGGAGATACCCAGTAAGTCAGCCTTAAATCCCTGCTACATTATATACACTCTTCATTTATTATTCATTTGGCAAGTGATTGCCATCTGGCTATAAGTCTGGAAAATTTTCTACGGATATAACATCTGAAACGAGATCTACAGATAAAAAGAGACTATATAGTAAAGATCTGGGAACATGTATTCTGATTATAAGAAGCATTTAGAACAAACGCCCTGAAAAAGAGTTGAGTTTAGTCACTGGGAAGAATAGCAAGACCAAGACAACTGTAGTGTGACTGAGGAAGCTGAATTTGAGACTACGGTTATAGATTCTGGAGCCCAACCCCCAAACCATGCAGGGATTCAGAGACAGGAACTTGTCATTCTAAGTAATAATAAGAACACAGAATGCTGCAAGAAAAAGGATGAAATGATTGATTTACAATTCAGAAAAGAAAGGATAATAAAGAGTTGTTAGGAAGCTGAAGCAACATCCAAAGTATGACGGAAGTTTATGTTAGTCATGATAGTGAGTATGGCAAATAGAAATCTACGTCTAAATATAATTTAGAAGGACTCACAGGATGATAATGAATCAGAGAAAATACTTTTTTAAAAAAACAGGAAAAGAAAGACATTGAGGAAGTGGACTAGCTAAATCTGAAGAAATGAAATGATAGAACTGCCATTTACTGGGGCAGTAAAGGTAAGCTTGGGTAGTGGTAAAGTAAAGGTAAGCTTAGAAGGGCAGGGAAGCTGCCCTTTGGACACAGTGCTCTGTGATATTAAGAGTATGGATTTGCAATATAAGCTCAAGTCATAATTTTATAGAACTTAATCGAAGTGCTGGGTTGGCAGAAGTCTGTCCTAATTTTCTTTCTTTTTCTTCTTTCATACATACACCCCTATTGCTGCCTCTCCTCCCTCGATCCCTCCCACCCACCTCCCATCTCCCCATAGGGCCACTGCTCCTGGTTACCCTTTAGAAAAAAGCAAGCCTCCTAGGAATATCAACCGAACACAGCTTAACAAGATGCAATAAGACCAGGCACAAACCCTTATATCAAAGCTGGACAAGGCAACCCAGTAGGAGGAAAAGAATCCCAAGAGTCAGAGACACCTCACTCCCACTGATAGGAGTCCCACAAAAACCTTAGGCCAAACAACCATAACATATATGCAGAGGACCAAGAGCAGACCCATGCAGGTTCCAAGGTTGCCTCTTCAGTCTCTGTGAGCCCCTAGGAGCCCAGTTTCGTTGATTCTGTGGGCCGTGTTTTTGTGGTGTCCTGGACACCTCTGGCTCCTGCAATCCTTCCTCCCCGTCTTCCGAGAGGTTCCTGAGCTTTGCCTAATGTTTGGCTGTCAGTCGTGACACGCAACAAGTACATACTTTCAATAAGGCTTAATGACAGGTAAGTGCTGGGTACTGAGGACACAAATTCAGAAGGCGTAATCGTCATGCAATAAGGTAGCATGTGTCATAAGGCTCTCTAAACGCTAATTAACTGAGCTTTGTTTTAGTTCAATAGCCTACAAGTGGGAGATTTACAGTGTACCGCTTTCACCGTTAAAAGTTTGACAGGCCAAGGAAGCAAAACGTGTCCGAATTTGGGGTCAGGCAACCTGAACTTCCCTACCAGCCTCTCGGCGGTTGCCTGATGCCGGCCCGCCCAGCACCCGTGCGATGCGGGCCGCTCTCCCAGGCCTGGGTCTGTACTTACGTGAGGAAGCACTCGGGTCGGCTGGTGGCTTTCCTGACTTCCCTCAAACACCGTTCCAGGGTCTGTCGACGCAACAAGCGAGGCGCCATAGCTATCAACTACAGCGCCACACGAGGGCTGAGAGCCTGCCGGAAGCCGTACGGCAAACACGCCTTCCGCAACCTGGAGCTCAGAGCCTAAGGTTCCGCTACACGCAGGTTCCGGCCCGGCACCCGGACGGTGTCTAGAGCACTGCGAACGCTTCTGCTGGGCATGCGTGAGGGTGGGGCAGAAAGCCGGAAAGAGCTATTGGTTACCTCGAGCGGCTTGGCAATTTCTCCAAATGGTTTGTTTTGTATACCTAAGAGAACCACGGTGGTGTCACGTGACCGCTTCCTGTTTCTGCTTTCGCTACAATAGGTGTTTTAACGTAACGGTAAAAAAAAAAAAAAAAAGGCGCTTCACGCCGCGTCATCACGATCCAAGGCCTCGCGCCCCGCTACTGCCCCGTTTTTCCCGACCTCTGTTGCCGTCAGCTTCTGAGTCTTGTGGTCCCGCCCCGGCCCCACGCCCCACGCCCCGCCCCTTGCCCTCTCTCCCTGCTCATTGCAGCGGTCAGTCCAGCTTCCCCAAGGTTATTTCGGGATCCCGGACTCGCGCCCCGCCCCTGTCGTTCTCCCCGCCCACTTCAGCTTTAGACACGCCCAGTCCCCGCCCCCTGCCTAGTCCTGTCCACTTCGCCCTATATCGCCGTGCAAGCGAGTAGCTTCAGGACATGAACGGTGTAGTGAAGGCCGCCGCGTTGGCTGCGGGCGCTACAGGTGAATACCGAACACCGTCAGGGGCTCCGGGACGCGGGGCGCGCTGGACGGGAGGTCGCGGGTGGCCAAGGGCTGGGTCTGAAGTGCTAGGCTCCCTGAGCTGCGTTCTCTTAGCGCGGGAAGTCGTTATTGTCCATCTCTCTGCTATTGGGTTGCCCTTGGCAAACGTGGACCAGACAGGTCACCTACCCAGGAGCACAGGTAAGGCAGAGACTGCAGTAAATCTCGAGCTACTCGAGCTACCATAAACACGCTGTAAGAGACAGGAGAAACCAGCAAAGTGGCAACTCCTGTAAAGTCTGAGTCCAATCATGTTTTACACACCTACCCCATTATATTTTTCATCTGACATAAACATAAATGGGAAAGGAACAAGCAGAAGGATTCGTAAGTTCCTTGAGTTCTTTCGACTTCTATCTCTTTTCTTGTTACGCAGAATCGTGGTGACATATACCCAAGTTTTCTGTCTGTCTCACTTTTTCCTCTTCCATTTTCTTTTCTTTCAGTGTTGGCAGTTGCTACCCTCAGTCTGGGATTTTCTATTTGGAAGAAAATATAAGGCAGTATCGTTCCAGAGATACTCTGTTACATTTGTGGCAAATCCTTTAGCTAGCTAGCATACTCAAGAGGTGTTCAGAGGACTTGACTTTTATTAATATTATACTTCTTGCCTGGAAATTTCTATCTCCTCTTTGCTGAAACCTACTAGTCATCTTTCAGAGTCAGCTCTGAAACTGAATTTGTTTTTTTGTGGATCCCTCTAACCTTTCTGGCCAATCACAAAACCACTTGTCTGCCCTAACCCCCTCCTCCCAAAAGGTACAACTTTGTGTGTGTGTGTGTAAGAGAGAGAGTATTGTATCAAAAGGCAGAGACAATAATTAAAATGATTTTCTGGTTACTAGCTAATGCTGAAGTTTTGCTAATACTCCCTGTTGATAAAGTTTTCTATATGCCTGGTCAAATGTAAGCTACCGTCTTGGCTCATTCATCATAAGTTGTTTTTTTTTTTTTTTTTTTTTTTTTTTTTTTTTTTTTATTAAAAATTTTTTTTTTTTTTTTGTTTTTTTTTTTTTTTTTTGTAAATGTTAAAGCAGAATCACATATTCTCTTTTGCAAGCTCTTAGAAAGAAGGCATTGCTTGTCAGATATATGCTAATGATATTAAAAGTTGAGAATCTGGGCTGAGACTGTAACTCTGTAGAGTGCTTTCCTAATGTGCTCAAAGCCTGGATTCAGGCTTCATTCCCACACAAACCACCATGGTGGTGAACACCTGTCATCCCGGCGCTTGGAAAATAGACAGAGAAGGATCAGAAGTTCACTTTCATCCTCAGCTACAAACCAAGTTTGAGGATAATCTAAGATACATGAAACTCTATCTCAAAGTAAAATGATATATTCTTTTTAAGTTGAGGAGCAAAGGGTTGTCAAGGACTCGGGATATAGTTTCATGGAGCAGTACTGGTCTAGTATATGCAAGGCCAGGGGTTTGACTCCCAGCATGGAAGAAAAAGAAAAGGAAACGGGCTACAGAGGAATGAGTTTGACACAGTAGTTTCTCAAATAAACTCTGATGTCCGACAAACCTGGGCTCAAGGCTCTACTTCACCACTTAAGTGATGCCGAGGAAATGAACCTAATCTCTGTGGGCCTAATTCCATATTCTGAAAATGGGGGCCATAGTACCCAACCTCCAGGATCTCAGTAAAGATTAAATAACAAAGGTAGTCAGTGCACCTTTGTCATTATTTCTATTTTATCTCTATTTTATGGCCATGTGGACTAAAAGGCAAAGTCGTGCTACCGTACTGTGCCCTCCCACATCAGCATTTGTGCTTTCACAACGTAGTTTGGAAGGACAATGAATTTGGCAAGATTTTGTAATAGCATTGATGCATAAATACAGCAGTGAAATAAAACCATGGGTCTGTACAGGGTAGAGGGTAGAATCCAATTTTACTCTTCCAATTCTGTCCTCTACAGATGATGAATCCTAGCAGTTAGCGAAAACAAGGAGGGTTCCTAGAAACTGAGGCATACAGCATTGGGAGGGTGGAGCTGGTTTAGAGGTTGCTCAGAGGCAGATTTATTATTTAGTTTCCACTTCTACGGTATATGAAAAGAAGTCCCCAAGTGACAGACTGGCCATAAGCTGTATATGTGAGTCACGATAGTTTTGTTGTGAGCTGCAGATCAAACCCAGAGCTTTATGTATGCGTAGTAAGTGCTCTGTCACTGATCTCTACACTTTTGTCAGTGGGAGGGTTATTAAGAACAGATTTTAGCTCAGAAAGACTGTAATTTGTATTCCTTTACCAAAAAGCAAGCACAGAGGTATGTCTCTAATACCATCAAGATGTCAGCAGTCAGAAAATACTTGAATACTTTCAACTGTTTCTAAAACCACACACCTCATGATACATTCCAGAGTGAAAGATGAGTTAGGGGCTGGTGAAATGAGCCTATAAATATTAGTATTTGGGAGGTGGAGACAAGAAGATGTGTGGCCTACCACTGCAATGTGGTCAAACTACCCAAGGCGACAGCCTCAAAGAAAATTGACTCTCCCTCTCCCACCAGCTGTCAGTTGTCAATACTGCTCAGCTAGAGATGGGACTTCATGCCCACCTCTCTTTTCATGATAGGATTTTGTCTGGATTGAATTTTTGTATGTCTTTTGAACGCTGTCATAACTGCTGTGAATTCAGATAGGAGGCTGCACTGCTGTATTCTTTGTCGTTATTATCCACTGCTTCTGGCTCTTACATTTTTTTCTTCCCCCCTCTTCCACAGTAATCCTTGAGTTTGGGAGGAGGAGATGTGGTATATATGCTCCATTTAAGACTGAGCAATACCTTATTTTCTATATCTTGAGCAGTTTCAAGTTTCAAGTATATAATCACCGTATACTTAAATAGAAGCTTCCCTAATGAGGGTTGAGAGATGCACTAGTCTATGGGTATAATGATAAGTCATTAAAAGTCAGTTCAAAACTATGCCCATTTAACAGTGTGATAGGGGTAGGGCCTATGACCTGTCTAGCCAGTTTCTTTACTTATAATGGTGTTGGGTATGGTCTCAACTTATGGAACAGGTCCTTTAAATCCAATCAGAAAGTTGGTGGTTACTCTCATCACATCTTTGCCATTGTTGCATCAGTGGGACTGTCTTGTCAGCTGGCGATTGCAGCTGTCAGGGTTCACAGTTAGGGAAGACTGATGAATAATTTACTCTTCAAGCAGTGTGCATAGCACCTTCCAGCATCTGAAAGAAAGTCGACAGTGATGAAGCCTCCAGTGGGTACCAGCTTGTTTTCTTCGTGTTTTGTGACCTAAATATGTGGTATATCATCAGCAGTAGGAGTTCGGGAGGCTAACTAAAAGCATTGGCACTAGCTTGTAGTTTGGGGACTCTGTGGTACTCATTAGGCTTAACAGCTCCAAAAGAGGTAAGCCATTTTGGCACTGGGCTTTTTATTTGTTATTCGGTGTATCAAGCAGAGGCGTTGTTGCCTCATTATAAGGCAACTCTATTTAAATTATGTCATATATATAATACATATTTCTAGTATTTATAATTTATAATATTATTTATATTATAGTGTACAGCATTGGGGTTTATAAACTGGTTTATAGGTTGCTGAAAGGAAAATTTATTGTTTAGTTTCTGTTTCTATGTTATAGGAAAAGAAGTTCCCCAAATGAAGAAATAGTCATGAGCAGTATATATGAATCAGAGGGCTTTTATTTTGTTTAATGTGGGAGATCAAACCCAGAGCTTTGTCCATGCTAACCAAGTTCTGCCATTGAGCTATACTCCCCCATCAGAGTTGGAAGTGTGTGTGTGTGTGTGTGTGTGTGTGGTGTTCTATATGAATATCCACAATATGTATATGGAAGCTTCTACAGTAGTAAGTTTCCATATGGTCTTTAGCATTAATTATCCTTCACCCTCTTCCCTCCTACCCCCACTCAATTTAACCTTTCCTCTTCATTACTCCCTTTGATACTTCATGCTACCATCTTTTATCTTGTAGTCATCTTTGTACTCCTGTTTTTAACCCTCTTGCCTATAAGTGTCTTACAGGTTTATTCACAGATGGTTGTGCAAGATAACTCTTCCTTAATGACAAATTAAACATTCTGAAGATCAAAGGATTGAGACTCTGTCATGCCGTCTGAGCTGGAGCAGAGAACCTAACACTAGAGTTATGACTTTCCAAGAGTCTGGATAAAAATAATATTTTTATTTTTATAAATAAAAATAGGAGATGGCCGAGGAGATGGCCCGGTCAGTAAAGTGGCTGCAAGTGTGACGAGCTGAGTGCTGATCCTCAGCACACATGTAAAAATCGTTAGGTATGATTGCACATATCCGCCCTAGTTGTGGCACTGCAGAAGGAGCACAGCCAGGTCTCCAGAGCTCGCTAATAGTCAGCCAGTTACCATGGGATTCATTTAGAGAACTATCTCCAAAGCAAACATATAAGGAAACATATAATTTCATCTTCTGGCCTTTGTGAACATGTACACACACACACACTTGGCTTGATGTGATAATCCATAATATATACATGCATAAGAATATCACATTGTAAATTTTCAGCATATATGATTTATACTTGTCAATCATATCTCAATAAAACTGTAGAGGGGTGGAATCGCATCATTTTAGACTCTTTATTTCCGGTTGCTTGTTCTATAAGATTTTATTCACAGACTCTTGCTGTAGAATCATACCTCTTCCTCCTGTAGATAAAGTTCATGTAACTATTAAAAATGTACAATATTTGTTAAATTTGTGATCTTGTACAAGTGTCATCTTTATCATGTTGCAGAATGGCTTCATAACCCAAAAGGAAGTTCACATGTATTAAGCAGTTACTCTCTGTCTGAGCTTTATTTCTATTGCTGTGAAGACACCACAACCAAGGCAACTTACAGAAGAAAGAATTTATTGGGGCCTTTAGTTCCAGAGAGCAAGTCTGTGACCATCATGGTAGGAAGCACGGCAGCAGGCAAGCAGGCAGGCATGTTGCTGGAACAGTAGCTTAGAGCATATCTTTATGAGCAAGTGGGGTGGAGAGAAAGAGACAGTAGGTCTGGTGTAGACTTCTGAAACCTCAAAGCCCACCCTCAGTGGCGTAACTCCAAGAAGGCCACACCTCCTAATCATTCCTCCACAGTTTCACCAACTGGGGAGCAAGCATTCAAATATACGAGTCTATGGGAGCCGTTCTCATTCAGACCACCACAATCCCCATTCTCTCTTCCCTCTAGTCTCTAGTAATCATCATTCTGCCTGCCTCTTTACTGTGAACTAATTTAGATGCTTGATATAAGTGGGATCATACTGTGTATGACTTTATGTCCAGCTCTTATCATTTAGTCCAATCTTTTAGAGGTTCTTCCTTGTTAGAGTGTCAGTAATAGACCATTGTTTGTCTTGTGGGAATATTGCTGCTGTGAACATGTATTTTGTTTGAGTTTTTATTTGCAGGTTTGTTTGAGTACTTAGGAATAGATATTTGGTCCTGTGATAATTCTGTGTTTAATTTTTGTTTTGAGTAATTGCTGAACTATTGAATTACAACCACAGCATTTTACCTTTGTTCAATACTGTACAAGCTTTTCAACTTCTTTCTTTTTTCCTTGCTTTTTTGTTGGGCATAAAGCAGTGCATTTCACCATGTATTGCTCTTGTCTTCCTTGACAAACACCAATGCTACTGAGTGTCTGATGTGCCTGTTGACTATTTTTGTATCCTATCCTTTTATCTGTCTGTCTACCTACCTAGCTGGCTAGCTATTTGAGGCAAGGTCTTCCTGTGTAGTTCTGGCTGGCCTGGATCTGCTTTGTAGCTCTGGCTGTGAACTCCCAGATATCCCCCTGCCTCTGCCTCCTGAGTGTTGGAATTGAAGTTGTGTGCCACCATACCAGCCCTGTCCCTTCATTTTTAAGAAAGATTTGTTTGCATATAGTGTGTTCTGCCTGCAGGCCAGAAGAGGGCACCAGATCGGGCACCAGATCTCATTATAGATGGTTGTGAGCCACCATGTGATTGCTGGGAATTGAACTCAGGACCTCTGGAAGAGCACCCAGGACTCTTAACCTCTGAGCCATCTCTCTAGGCCCTGTCCCTTCATTTTTAAGTAAACTCTGTCACTGAGTTTTCACTGATACCACAGTAACCTTCTACACCATTCCTGAAATATGTGTTATTAGGGATCAAAGAAAACAAATAAAAATAGATTTTTTTTCTCTCTCTCAAACCAGTTATTTTATCTCTAGAGAAACCAGTTACCATTTATTTCTAGATATAAGATGGTATCAAAAGTTTAGTAACTATGACATAAAGATACTATTGTCTTTCTCACAAAGAAAGTTTGTTTTCTATTAAATCAGAAGAACCAGCTGTTCTAGTGAACCAAATTATAGATAAGAAGCTATAGATAAAACTGCCACTTAGGCTTGCTTTGGCATGCCAGAGTCTGTGTTGTCCTTAGAGCAGAGGATATTAAAGTTTGCTTTCACCTGACCATCCTGTCATTTGTTTCTTTGACATTTCTGTATGTTCCTACCAGTAGTTCCTGCTAATAGTAGGACATCAGAGGTGGGACCTGGACACAATATTTGGCTTTTCTCTACAAGTTCGTACAGCACAGACTATCAGGAAGCTCACTGACATTATCCATCTACAGTGTCTTAAAACTAGAAATACTTTTTGTATTGAACCCATTGCAAACAAGTACCTTCAGGAGGGGTAGCAGTTCGACTAAAGATGTTGCTATCGTCTGTGCATTGTCCTCCACTGCTGGATCCTGGGAACCTGGGAATAAAGAAAGGGCAGACGCACATACAGAAAACCACGATGGAATAGGCTATACTCATTTTGGTGGAGGCAGCAACACAACCTTGAAACTCAGCATGTGTTTTATATGTAGCAAGTAAGGGGTAGGTGAGCTTTTTTAGGTGGGAGGTCTCTGTAAGGGAACAGTTTCAGTCATCTGGGAGGAGGAGGCTGCTGTTGCTAGATTTTGTATACATTGGTCAGCTGTTCCTAAACGTATTCCTACTTGGACCAGAGGAAGGCTTGGTCATTCCCATAGGTCTGACTACTGGGGTCCTTGACATGGCTGTGCCCATCAACAGAACACATTCACTCAGGATCTCATCCACTCCACCACACATTTGTAACACTGTGCCTTATTGAAATAGGTTTATGGAAAACGTTCATGCAATTCACTGACAAGCTAGCATTTTACATCCTTAGCTGACCCAGTCCCCCGAGTAAGTGTCTCAACAGGTGAGGTGTTCGTGGGAAGGACCAGGGATCAGAAAATATAGAAGACAGGTATCTGGGACCAGAAGTCTTGCACAAGCTGATGACTTCTACCAAGGAAGTTTATTAAGAAGGACAGAATAATGTGTGCTATTTGTAGAGTGAGATTGGACCATAGTCAGCAGAAAGCTTAATCAAACACTATCGACCAAGAGAACACAGCTGCCTTAAGATTGATAACCACAGCCCTTCAGGGGCAGAAATTCAGATTCCCAGGAACTGAAACATTAACTCCTTTGAGGCCCTAGCTCTGGCCCCAGACCCAGACCTTGTCAATTCTGCCCCTGGGCAAGTACATAGAACTAACATCCCTCTTGTCCTTTTATCAGGGCCTTTCTGGCTCCCAACACTCAGAAGTGAAAGTGGGTGAATTCACTATTTGCCTGAATAGAAAACATCATAATGTATATAGTTTTCATTCTGTGGAGTATTGATCTTAAAACCCAGTGTTTAGGAAGTAAGGAAGCAGAGTAACAGATGGAGGGACCCTCCCCCCCACACACACACATATACATCCAATCATCTTCTTCGGTTGCTGAATGTCTTAAGTTAGGTTTCTATTGCTGTGACGAGCACCACACCAAAAGCAACTTGAGGAGTAAATGGCTCTTTTTATCTTACCCTTCCCATGACAGTCCATCACTGAGGGAATTCAAGGCACGAGCTAGAGGTAGGCACTGATGCAGAGGCCATGGAGGAGTGCTGCTTGCCTCCCATGGCTTGCTTAGCCTGATTTCTTATAGCACCCAGGACCAGCCGCTGAGGAATGGCAAGACGCACAAAACCCAGATGACTCTGCCTCGTGTCTGACATAAAACTATCCAGCACACAGAGTGAAAGGGGCTCTCCACAGCCCAAAGTAGTGCTGCCTCTATTCTGTCAAAATTATATAAAGAAAGAATGTAAAACTCTGCCTCAGAAGAAACCCCAACATGGTATATACACTTTGCTCTTGTTTTCCACTGAGAAGTTAGATGTTTTCTTTAGCTGATATTAAATAAAAATACACACCCAAAGTACTGCCTAGGTATGCCTTTCGTGAATTCATTCCATGATGTGAAAAAAAAAATGTGTACAGATTGGGAAGAAAATTGCCTGCTCTTATTGAGTGTGTGTTGTTCATTGTCACATTCAGACTTACGTAAAATGCAAACGTCACTGAGTACTCTGAATATTGCAATTAGCCCTAAGTGTTACCAGAAATACAAATTACTATGAAAACTGGTGTTCTTTGTTCAGAGTGAAAGGGAAGCTCAGAATTGTATTTTAAAATGTATTTTTATTACTTTTAATTATGCGTATGTGTGTGGGCCTGTGTACATCAGTGCAGGCGCCCTTGGAGGCCAGAGGCATCTGCTCCCCCTGGAGCTAGAATTACAGGTATTTATTAACTGCTCAACATGGGTGCTGGGAACTGAATTCAGGTCCTCTCCAAGAGCAGTAAGTGCTCTTTAACCTCTGAATTATCTCTCTAGCCCAAGAATTAGATTCAAATTCTAGACAAATACCTTTTTCCCCTGTAGTCTGAACCTAGAGCCTCATGCTTATTAGTAGGTAAAAACTGCACTATTTAGGTATATCCTTGGCCTTCTTAATTTTTCATTTTAAGATAGTCTCACTAATCTGCCCATGCTGGCCTTGAACTTAAGCAGGCCTTGGCCTTCCGTTCTTGCCTCTGCCTCCAGAGTACCTGCGTTATAGATCTGTGCCATCAGGGCTGGGTGATACAGGGCTTGTTAATTCATGGCAGAGAGGAGTGAGTGAATAGTTTTTACACAGGTTTTTCCAATTTATCATCATAGATAAACAGTGAATTTTACAGCCCTTCGGTAAGTTTTTAAAAATAAATTTAGAAGGACATTAATTCTCAAAAGAGAGATGTCAATTGCTGTTCAATTTTTCCAGGGTTTTTCTCGAGAGTCCAAACTGCAGCTGCAACAGGGAGATGTTTTTCCACATCACAGTCCCTGCATCAAGCATCAAGTCCTGTGTGGAGCCTGGGCCAGCTCAATCATGTGGCCATAGCAGTGCCAGATTTGGAAAAGGCCTCATCATTTTATAGGGATGTTCTAGGGGCCCAGGTAAGTGAGGCGGTCCCTCTTCCAGAACATGGAGTATCTGTTGTTTTTGTCAACCTGGGAAACACCAAGATGGAACTGCTTCATCCCCTGGGGAGTGACAGTCCAATCGCAGGCTTCCTGCAGAAGAACAAGGCTGGAGGAATACATCACGTCTGCATTGAGGTACTTCATCATCTTAATGTCTGCTGTTTGGGGTCTCTCTCTCTCAAGCTGTGTACCCCTTAAGATTACATTTCGCCAGAACCTTTTTATTAAGTTTCAAAAGGAATTGTACTGTTATTATTCTTTAAAGTTGAGTGTGTGTGTGTGTGTGTGTGTGTGTAGTTTCCCTTTAAGAAACTATGACAATGGTATTAACGTATTTTGAGGACAGCTAGATCCAGGAGACTTAAAACAGGCCACCAAAGTGATTGTATTGATGAAATGTGGCCACTCTTGTAATAGGAATGTGAGTGCTTTTCACTATCACTATGAGACAAGTAGGCATATGAAGAAGATTTATAAAATGAGAATTTCATCAACATACCAAGGTTGTAGTTACAGCGCCAGGGATTGAACTGAGGGCCCCATGTGGGTTAAGCATGTGCCAGACACTGGCCTACATCCCATCTGAAATAGTCTTATGATTCTGTTCTATCCTTAAAAATTGAATAACTTATTCCTTATCACAAAATCAATTCATTTTCAACATACCAAGCCATGAGTGTGGAGGTCAGAGGACAACTTTCAAGAGTCAGTTCTCTGCTTCTACCATGTGTGTTCCAGGGATCAAGCTCAGGCCATCAGGATTGGTGGCAAGCACATTTATTCACTGAGCCATCTCTCTAGACTCTGAGTTTTAAATGTCTCCAAAACTTCATTTTACTAACATTATCTGAGAAAACATGAAGAAATGACAGTAACGTTCTCATTAGAGACTTTTTATCTGTATAGATGGTTGTGTTTGAACAACTTAACTGTTAGACTACCAGCAGTGCCAGTTAAGCTTTAGTTTAAATTAATTTGATGGGACAATTCATTGGCTAGACATATGACAAAATTAATGGTAAAGCCTCAGTTCTGATCCAGAAGAGTGCTAGGTTGACTAGAATGAAGTCAAGGACATATTTATATATGAGAGCCTATGTTCTGTTAAGTACCAGGAATTCAGCAAAATACATGGACCAAATACTCAGTGAGGAGGGGATATTTAACCAGTCAAGAGGACCCTACTGTGATAATGGAGTTAAGATGTGTGTCTTCTCAGTAATACAAGTGAAGTAGGCAGATATGAGGTACTTGATACACATTGTTTTATTTAACTCTCATAGCTGCTCTGTTAGGATGCTACTAACCCATACGGAAGGGAGAAAAAAACCAAGACTTGGTTAATGTGCACACAGTAACGTTAGATGTACATGGCAGGGCTCGGGTTCTGTTTTCAGGGTGTTTCCGTAAGGCCAGTCACATTCATTGTATGATCAGACCTTATAATTTGGGGTTGGGGAAACTATCCAACACAGACCAGGAACTGCTGAATCCTGGTGTTTACCCTTTCTTTCATTGTGGGGAGGCTAATTTGGGTGGAGGTTTTATCAGTAGACAGAGGGCTTGTGTAAGTCTCCCCACCCCTCCACCTGGATGAAAAGTGGACCATCTGCCTTTGAGTGTACTCTCCTTTCTCCTACACTATGTGGTCTAGGTTCCACATCAAGAGAGCTCATGCCATCAAAGGAGGCCAGCTGTGAGTCAGAAGTTCAGTTAAGTAAAGAAAAGTGGGAGTCCAGTCAAGTAACAGCAAATTCAAAAGTGGAGATCAGAAGAGGGAAATAGAAATGTTATGAGAATAAAATGAAGGTAGGTGACATGTGACAGTCTGGAAAGTGCTCAGCTGCTACTTCAGTCTGACACTCACCTGTTGCCCTGAAGTCACCACACACAGAAGTGGCTTAATTTCATGGATTTTATTTTCCAGTCCTAAACTGTCACATATGGTTTATAGGACTTCCTCAGACATTGCTGTTCAGCAGCCAACGGGAAGGGAAATTAGAGAGAGAGAATAAGGCTAAGTGCCTATTGGTGACTTAGGCATTTTATCTGTCACGTCTGCTCATGTCCTGCAGACCTGAAGTTAGTCAGATGGTACTTGTGGCTGCAAGAGACACTGGGGAATGTAGTCTGTATCTAAGGAGCTACCTGTCCCGCTGAAATAAGTTTGTATAATTAAAGGGAAAAAAGTGAGAGCATCAGTCTGGGCCAGGCTTGGCTATCAATCGCTATAACACTTGGCAAATTTAATTTATTTTTCAGGATTTATTTTATGTGTCTGGGTGTTCTGCCTACATGTATGTCTGTGCACTATATGCATACAGTTCCTGTGGAGGCCAGAAAGGGGCATAGCATCCCCAGGAACTGGGGTTTCAGACAGCCGTGAATCACCATGTAAGTGCTGAGAACTGAACTCCAGGCCTCCGGAAGAGCAGCAGGTGCTCTTAACCACTGGGCCATCTCTCTCCAGCCCCAATGTGGCAATTTTTAAAAAGAGGTATTGCCAAGATAGCCTATCCTTCTTGCTGAATGGACAGATGCTCCGAGATTAATGCATTAGTTCCTCAGAGCAGGTGGAGTACAATCTACTGCCTTTCCTTGGACAGAAAACATATTTTTGAGTGTGAATATTGAGATTTCAGCCTCAGCGTATTACAGGACTGTAGTCAATGTGTTCTGGCTGCAGGCCCTGGGTCTTGAACTGTTTTCTAAAATACCAAATGTGATAAGGCCAATTCAAAGCCCTCTCTGTGGTCAGCATTCCAGTTCCTGTGCTGTGCGGTAGAGCGGCACCACAGCACCATTTGGTTTGCGTGGGAGCTTGAGTCAGGGAGCTGGAGGTCTGCTGCACAGTTCCTGCCCAGAGTTTCTCATGGGACACAATGCTGTCCCAGATGCCTCACTCAGGTGACTGGTAGTGAGCTCACTCTTACAGCTTACCAATCAGCTGAACCTTTTTTAATAGGAGGTCCTAGAGGAGACCTCTTTGGCTTAACACGCTAAGTGTAGCTCTGAGGATAGCTGGATTTCTTTCCTTCTGAGTTTGTGTGTGTGTGTCCCACAAAATCAGGGAAGACTGTGTGCTGTCTTCTGGTGGAGCCTTCTGCTCTTGCCTACTGGTAATATGCAGGATTGAAGCAGCCTCCTTTGAGAGCAAGTCCCCAGACCCTGACTTTAAAAAAGTGTATGAGTGTTTTGCCTGTATGTATATATGTACCTGGTACCTAAAGAGGATAGAAGAGGGCATACAGGGCACTGGATCCCCAGAACCGAACTTCAGCTAAGGTGATTGTGAGCTGCCATGTGAGTTACAGAGAAAGAACAGCTGGAAGAGTAGGCAAATGCTCTTAACTGTTTAGTCATCTTTGTAGCTCCTAGCTCCTGACTCTTAGTGGGAAGAGCCATGTTTTCAAGAGGCTATGACTGTGAATGTGTTCTGAGAAAAAGGAGAATATGAATTTTTTAAAAACTCTACAGTAATCTGAATTTCAAATTACCAGAAATGGGGAACATGGGCCCAGCAGCATTCGCATATGCAAGAAGGAACAACATGTCCAGCCTTTGTGAATGTAAGAAGACTCAAGAGTGTTGGCACTCGACAAGACAGGAGGCTCATAAGCACCACATCACAAAAAAGTGTTTCCTCTAGCATTTTGGTCATCTATATCATTAAGATATGTGTGTTTCTTTTTGTTGCATGACTTTTCTGGGAAACAGGAAAGATGTCTGTCTGAACTTGAGGGAACCTTCATCCCAAAGAATAACTCATCCAAGTTTAACCTTGATGAGTAGAATGGGTTTAATTGGGGGTTTGCTTACCAGGTGGTAGATGACAGAGGAGGATTGCATCTAACTGCAGAATGAGCACCCTGCCTACCAACCCCTTGTTTTATTAGTTTCTCACTCTAGAGCAGAGCTGATGCCATAGACTTAGAGTACCATCCAGTATGAAATCAGCGGAAGTGACTACAGGCTTAGGTAACAGGGTACAAGCAAACTCAGATCCAGCAAAGTCACACTTCTGTACACTCTGTTCTTGCTCTTCCTGGGGATTCTGTTGGCCTCAGAAAACATTGTCCTGGGTAAGGATGACTTTGTTTTTCTGTAGTCTGCAATATAGACAGCTTAATGCAGTTAGCCTCAAAACGGAGTCATTCTGGATGGGATTTGGAGAACTGCACTTCTGTGAGTGTTTATAGTTCTTCTCTAGCCTGTCTGTCTTTTGCTATTTCTTTCATAATATATTTTCTTTTATCATAAGTCTACCCATTGGAGAATTAGCTTTCTTCTGTCCAGTATCAGATATGTTATTTCTCACTGGGACCTTATCTGAACTCTCTGATGCGTAGTATCTGCTGTGGACACACTCTATGGCTCTAGAAGTATAATAAATCATACTTCTGTTGATTGTAACCTGCCCAGTTTCTGGTACTGTATGATGCAGCTTCAACAGATGAGATACAGCTCTGTAAAGTGAATAGAAATCATACATGTTGAAAGATTCACACAGGATTGGTGTGTGGAGTACAAAAGCCTGGGCTGTATGTGAGAGAGTAGTGATGGACATGTGTGTGTGTGTGTGTGTGTGTGTGTGTGTGTGTGTGTGTGTGTGT